TTTTTTAGCCTCTGTTAGCCTGTGTTAGCTGCTCTTTTACAATGTGAAAATGTCAAAACTGTTTATCAGGGGAAAAGTGTGATTTTTAGGACACTAACTGGCAAAATATGACAATATCAGGAATGAATGAGCGAGTTTATGCATGTTTTCATGTATTAGCTCCCTGACTTCAGCTCAGGAGATGAACTTGAGCTGCGGAGGAAGACAATATGATTTTGCTTAGATGTCGAAGACATAGTCTCTTTCCTTCCTGTTTTTGTTTCTTTGGTGAAGGGGACGCCTTCTCCAGCGGTAAAACAGGCGTGGTCATTTAAATATCGCTCCACGGCACGTGAACACCTACGACTTCTCTTCTCCTCCACCTTTGCCGTTTTATGCACGTGGCTAGAAACTGGCCACTTTAGTCAAAACAAGATGAAGAGATCCAATCAGAACTAATCAGGTACTACAGAAAAGGTGGGGTGAGTGTGAAGTGATCCAATCGGAAGTGACCTCATTGTGCAGCGTTCCATCTGCTCCTGATAAACAACGAGGGAGGGGCGGTTCAGCCCACTCCCATGAAAACGTAACAGAAGAGGGAGAGAAGAAGAGACGCGGTCTTTGTAAACATCGTGGAGAATCACTCACTGCTCAAAACACAAATTTTACATTTTAGATTTGAGTCACTGAATCAACTTCAGATTACGTCTGCTGTAATCGCATCACATTTAGTTGACTAAAACTAAAGCAGTAGCTGTTAAGACAAAAGCAGAAAGCCTCCAGAAATCCAGGTGTGCGCCTGAGCGCGCTCATACCTGCTTCAGCACACCACACATGTGCTGGCGTATTGAAGGACACGATGTTGACGTGGTCTTTGAGATGCTCCAGCAGCTCGTTGAACTCTTTCTTGCTGCAGCTGCAGTCTGCAAAGATCTCCACCTCGTTAGGAACTCGCTTTGACATCCGAGACTCGATGTGGTTCAGGTTCACGTGCTTCTCCTGCAGGAGGACGCGAGGACAGAGAGGGTGAAGATGGAGGTGGGGCAGAGGTTCAGGCGTGATCTGTTTTTGAGGGCTTCCTGACCTGAAACAGTCTGAGAGCTTTGACCAGACAGCCGACCTCGTTCTTCAGAGAAAACACCACTGCCGTTTTCCCAGAATCCTCTGTGCCCTCTTTGTCCGGTTTCTCGTTGATGGGACAGAAGGACGGACGCCTCGACTGACAGCAACAACACAAACATGACAAAGAACGTGAGGTTATTGTGACAAAATGAAGCGTTTCAATCAATCAAAGCTTTATTCGCCACATGAAGGTTGCCCTGCAGTGAAATGGGACCCCCCCCCCAACCTTACACACACAACAAAGACATCACATGGGGATACAAGTCGGAGATCGGTAGCGTTATAGAAAAACACTGAAATATACACTACAATGGGAAAGTACAAGAGGAAAAAAAGAGACCTCTACTCATGCTGTGCTTCCATGGTAGGACAGCACAAGAACAGGAAACAAAAAAACTCCTCTGCACAAAAAGCACATAAATGTCCACAGCACAACTCTGTGAAAGACATGACAAGCCACAGGATTGGGTGGGGGGTGAGGAGTAATCTGAAGCGAACACAGCAGCTGCCCTGCACAGCGCTACCATTCCAGCGCGGCACACAGACCCGCCGTGTTCCCCCGCAGGAAACAAGCATCGAAGGCGTTTGGAAAGGGAGGGGGATGAGTGCGTGCTTATCTCTTGGCGAAGGCGGTCGCACTTTTCTCCTCTCCTCCTTCCCCTTATCTTCCCTGCTTAGCCTCTTGTGTCCTTGTCTTGTCTCGTGTGCTTTACTTTCCCCTGGAACAGTCTCTCACTGTCGTTCTCTAAAACCTAAAAGAGGAATTATGGATTTGATCAACTGGTCTCTGAATGCTATTGACACCCTTTTCTCAACGAGAAGTCTGGGCTCGGGAGAGCCTGAGTGCCCTGGAGGGACTTTCCCTGCC